GGGCTGGGGTTGTGGCTCAGCAGGTAGAACGCTCGCCTAGCATGTGCGAGGTGCTGGGTTTGATCCTTAGCACCACATAAAAACAAATAAAATAAAGGGAAAAAAATGAGCATATCCATCACCCCCCAAAATTTCATGATGCTTCTTTGCAAACCTTTTCACCTACTGCCCTCCCAATCTTTAAATTTGCTTTAATCTGCTTTTCTTATTTTCTAGAATTTTTATATAAGTGAAATAATAAAACTCTTCTGTTGTTGCATAATCATTACTATAATTATTTTTAAATTCAACTGTGTGGATATATCAATATGATTTATTTTTACTGTTAATATATTTGTTTGTGTGTGGTACTGTGGATTGAATCTGGGGATACTCTACCACTGAGCTACATGCCCAGCCCTTTTTTATTTTTATTTTGAGACCAGGTCTCACTAAGTTGACAATTCTGCTCTCAAATTTGCAATCCTTCTTCCTCAATCTTCCAAGTAGCTGGGATTATAGGCATAAGCCATTGTGCCCAGTTTATTGCTTTATTTTCATTTTAAAAGTTAGTGTGGTGAAGTACATATGACATAAGATTTTTCCATTTTAAACATTTTTATGTGTACCACTCAGTGATGATAAGAACATTCACATGTTGTATAACCATCACCGCTATTTCCAAATTTCTTCTTAAGTGTGTAATCTGCTGTAAATCCCATTTGATATCTTTTTTTATTTCAGACTCTATTTTTTTAGATATTATCAGTTCGTGTGTTTTTTATATTAAATGTATCTCTTGTTATACCACTTTTTCCTCTACCTTCCTAAACATATGGGTATATAATATTTATTTTAATGCTCTAGTCTCTAATTCTAKCATCTATATCATTTCTGGGTTTGTATCAGTGAATTTTTCTCTTCATTATAGTCAGATTTTCTCTTATTTTCTCTGAGGTTTAAATTGGATTCAAGATATTGTAAATTTTGCATTATTGGGTTTTAGATTTTGTGGGGGAGGTGTATTAATATGCCAAGAAACAGTGCCTTTTAAAAATTTTTTAAATTTTTTTATTTGTTCTTTTTAGATAAGCATGACAGAGTTATTTTGACATATATACATGGAGTATAACTTATTCTAATTAGGATCCCATTCTTGTGGTTGAACATGATGTGGAGTTATACTGGTCATGTATTCATAGATGAACATAGGAAAGTTATGTCTGGTTTATTATGTTGTCTTTCGTATTCCCATCCCATCTCCCTCCTCTTCAATCCCCTTTGTCTAATCCACTGAATTTCTGTTCTCCCCCCACCTTATTATGTGTCACCATCCACATGTCAGAGAGAACATTCAGCCTTTTTTTGTTGTTTGTTTGGACTGGCTTATTTCACTTAGCATGATAGTCCCCAGTTCCATCTACTAACTGGCAAATGCCATAATTTCATTCTTCTTTATGGCTGAGTAATATTCCATTATGTACATGTACCACATTTTCTTTTTTTTTTTTTTTTATTGTTGGTCGTTCAAAACATTACATAGTTCCTCATACATCATATTTCACAGTTTG